ATAGGAGGCAAAGGCAAAACAATACCTATAATGGCATGACCTGAATGGATCTTTGTTACTGGCTAATCAATCACGGCATTCCCAGGGACCAAATACATAAGAAGCCTACTAAATTTTTATTTGATCTGCATAAACAGAAAAGTTCTAAGACAAATGACAGGAAGTCAGTATTGGATCATAGCAATAGAGAAACTTGCTCAGTCAACCAATTTACAGACTTGACACAGTTTACAGACACAGAACCCCTTGAATGCAGGGAAGGCTGGGTGCCCTTGAGGAAGGACCTTGTCACAGTACCAAAGAGTTATGCTGTTCACCTTTCCCCTGTCCTTCCCCAGAGGGACCTGTGGCCTTTTACTAGAGTAAATGTGCATTGGGAAAATGGAAATAATCAGACTTTTCCACAGCCTATCGGATACTCCTTCTGAGTTGGCATTGATTCCAGGGGACTCTAAAAAGCATTGTGGCCCTCCAGTTCAAGTAGGGGCTTATGGAGGTCAAGTGATAAATGGAGTTTTGGCTGAAGTCTGACTGAGAGTGGGTCCAGTGAGTCCCCGAACTCATCCTGTGGTTATTTCCCCAGTACCAGAATGTATAATTGGGATAGATATACTTAGGAATTGGCAGAATCACCACACTGGTTCCCTGACCTATGGAGTGAGGGCTATTATGGTTGGAAAGGCCAAATGGAAACCACTGGAATTGCCTCTGCCAGGAAAAATAGTGAACCAGAAGTGAACCAAAAACGGTATCACATCCCTGGAGGGATTGCAGAAATTAGTGCTACCATCAAGGATTTGGAAGGTGCAGGGGTGGTCACCCTTTAACTCAACTATTTGGTCTGTGCAGAAGATAAATGGGTCATGGAGTAAAACTTAATCAAGCAGTGACTCCAATTGCAGTTGCTGTACCAGATGTGGTTTCCTTACTCGAAAACTTAATCAAGTAGTGACTCCAATTGCAGCTGCTGTACCATATGTGGTTTCCTTACTCAAGCAGATTAATACATCTCCTAATACCTGATATACAGCTATTGATTTGGCAAATGCTTTCTTCTTGATACCAGTCCATAAGGACCACCAGAAGCAATTTGCTTTCAGCTAGCAAGGCCAACAGTATACCTTTACTGTCCTGCCCCAAGGGTATATTAATTCTCCAGCACTGTGCCATAACTTGGTTTGAAGGGATCTAGCTTGCCTGACTCTTCCACAAAATATCACACTGGTCCACTATATTGATGATGTTATGCTGATTGGATCCAGTGAGCAGGAGGTAGCAGACAGTCTGGACTTGTTGGTTAAGCATATGTGCATGAGAGGATGGGAAATAAATCCAACCAAAATTCAAGGGCCTTCTACCTCAGTGAAATTTCTAGGAGTTCAGTGGTGTGGAGCATGCAGAGACATTCCTTCTAAGGTGAAGAATAAGTTGTTTCACTCCAGAAGCACAATACTTAGTAGGCTTGTTTGGATTCTGGAGGCAGCACATTCCTCATCTGGGTGTGTTACTATGATGCATATATCAAGTGACTCAAAAGGCAGCTACATTTGAGTGGGGCCTGGAATATGAAAGGGCCCTTCAACAGGTCCAAGCTGCTGTACAAGCTACTCTGCCCCTTGGGCCAAATGATCCAGCAGACCCAATGGTCCTTGAGGTATCAGTGGCAGATAAAGATGCTGTTTGGAGACTCTGGCAGGCCCCTATAGGGGAATCACAGTGGAGGCCATTAGGATTTTGGAGTAAGGCTTTGCCTTCATCTGCAAACAACTGTTCTCCCTTTGCGAGACAGCTCTTAGCCTGCCATTGGGCTTTAGTAGAAACTTAACATTTGGCAATGGGCCACCAAGTCACCAGGCAGCTGGAGATGCCCACCATGAGCTGGGTGTTATCTGACCCCCCAAGCCATAAGGTAGGATATGCACAGCAACAATCTATTATCAAATGGAAGTGGTATATATGTGATTGGGCCCGAGCAGACCCAGAGGGCACAAGCAAGCTACGTGAAGAAGTTGCCCAAATGCCTATGGTTTCTATTCCTGTTACAATGCCTCCTGTTCTCAAGCATGTACCTATGGCTTCATGGGGTGTTCCCTACAATAGGTTGACTGAGAAAGAAAAGACTAGGGCTTCGTTTACAGATTGTCCTGCAGTCTATGTAGGCACCACTCAGAAGTGGACAGCTGTGGCATTACAGCCCATTACTGGAACAACCCTGAAGGACACTGGGGAAGGGAAGTCTTCACAGTGGGCAGAACTTCGGACAGTGCACATGGTCATGCATTTTTCTTGGAAGGAGAAATGGTCAGAAGTGCAATTATATACTGATTCATGGGCTGTAGCCGATGGTTTGGCTGGATGGTCAGGGACTTGGAAGGAGCATGGTTGGAAAATTGGTGAGAAACACATTTGTGAAAAAGTATGTGGATAGATCTAGCCAAATGGGCAAAGGATGTGAACATACTTGTGTCTCATGAAAATGATCATCAAAAAGTGGCTTCAGCAGAAGATGAGTTCAATAATCAAGTAGATCGGATGACCCACTCTGTGTATTGTCAGCCTCTTTCTTCAGCTATCCCTGTCATTGCTCAGTGGCCCTTGAACAAAGTGGCCATGGTGGCAGAGATGTAGGTTATGCATGGGCTCGACAGCATGGACTCCCACTCATGAAAGCTGACATGGCTACAGCTGCTGCTGAGTGCCAGATCTGCCAACAGCAGAGACCAACACTGAGCCCCCATATGGCACTATTCCCTGTGGCAACCAGCCTGCAACATGGTGACAGGT